CGCACTTGACTCCCGCATGGTCGACCATGGTTCAAGTCCTAGGCCCGGCAGCTTGAACATCATGTGGGCATGTGTGCGTGCGTGCAAGATCTCAGGAGGAGAGAGAAGGGCCTGCAGCTTGGCCATGCCACCTGGGGCAACTCCTCACTTCCCCTCTTAGTGTCTCTCTGTCTCTCTGGTGAGTGCATGCTCCCCATGGCAAAAACCTTATAAAAACAAACAAACCTGAAAAAAACTATTATAGGATTGTATTTCTTAATTTATTTTATTTTTAGAGAGTTTTTTTTTTGCTATAGGGCTCATGAGCTCGCCAGAGAGACAAAGAGACAGAATGTGAGAAATCACCCCCTAGGGGGATTGACCTTGCTGCAATCCTTTCTTCTTCATTCTCTTTTTGGGATCTTGGACACGCACACACATGCTCAGCGTGAGTTTTAAGCCGCCAGGTCTAGGACTCAAACTGTCGTTGGCCATGTGGGAGTCCAACACCTTAACCACTATGCCACCTGCTGGCCCCAGGACTGTATTTTTTGATGAAACATATATCACATTAGCTTTTTAAATTATCTTTTTAATGCAATATTTGATACATACAAATACAATACTGGATTTTATTGGAAATTCTAATAAAGCAAGGTACTAATGGAGCTTTAAATATTTTTCATAGCCTGGTGTCACCCCTGAAGTAAGAAAAAAACTCGGAGAAGCTGCAGTCAGAGCCGCTAAAGCTGTAAATTATGTTGGGGCAGGTATGTTAACATTTGCTTCTGGGCCAGTAAGTTGCGTGGTGGTTAGGCGCAGGACTCCTGCATGGGAAATTGGAGTGTGAGTCCCAGACCCAGCGGTTCGGACATGCGCTCGCTCTCTCTGGCTCCCTCTGGTAAGCGCATGTGCACTATAGCTAATTTTTAAAAGTAATAATAATAAATAAAATTAAATAATTTTTAAAAATCTGCTTCTAGTAGAAAAGAAGAAATAGTATTTATTTGCATTTCAGAAGGCAAAGGAAACAATAGCTTTTAAATCAGTGGTTTTCAAGCTATTTTGGCCATATCCACAATGAAAAATGCATTTTTATATTACGACCTGGTAGGGCACATAAGTGTTTTAATATAGATATACTTGATACATTTTACTAAACAGTACTTGCCCTAATTATATATGATGAGCTTTGATGTTTTTCTATTCCTGGGTCATTGGGAAAATCATGACACATTTTTGCATAGAAAAACAGAAAAATATATCATGACTTTCCTGATAACCTAATGTTTTAACATAAAATAAATTGAATTTTGCTTTTTTAAATTAAGTCTTATTTTTAGAGCATATTTAAGGTAGCAGCAAGACGGAGCAGAAAGCACATTTACCCCCGACCTTCCACATGTACACAGCCTCCCACACTATCCTCCTCCCACAGACTGGTGTATTTGTTAAAACCGATGGGCCTGCCTCGTTATCACAGACGTCCGTAACTCGCATTGGTGTTTGCTCTCGGCGTCCTATGTTCTGTGAGTTTTGACACGTGTCTGGTGATAACTATTTACCACTGTAGTGTCGTACAGAGTGGTGTCGCGGCTCCAAACGCCCTCTGTGCTCTACCCCATCCCGCCCCTCTGCTAACCCACGGGCAGCCACTGATCATTTTCACTGGCTCCATAGTTTTGCCTTTCCCAGAATGTCATATAATTTGAAGCATACAGCGGAGAGCCTGGCTTCTTTCCCTTAGTAACACGCGTTTAAGTTCCTTCCGTGCCTTTTCATGGCCTGATAGCACGTTCCCTTTTTTGCGCTGAATGATACACATTGTCTGGATGTATCACAGCTTGTTTATCCATTCACCTGCTAGGACATCGCAGTTGCTTGCAAGTTGTGGAAATCATGAATAAAGCGGATGTAAACATCTATGTGCAGGCCTTTGTGCAGATGTGAGTTTTCAGTCCCTTCGAGTAGACATCGAGGAGGGTGATTGCCAGATCACGTGGTAAGAGTGGGTGTGGTTCTGTAAGAAAGCACCAGACTGCCTTCCTAGTGGCTGTACCGTCGTCCGTCCCCACAGTAACGAATGGAGGTCCCTGTTGCTCTGCACCCTCTCCAGCATTTGCTGTTAGCAATGTTGTACATTTTTTTTGAGGTTTTTGATATAGGGCGTGTGCGCTTGCCAGACAGACAGAGAGACAGAGAGACAGAAAGCAAGAAATCACCCCCCAGGAGGGATGGTCACGCCTTCTCCTCCATTCTCCTCTTGGGATCTTGGGCACGCACGCACATGCGCCCGGCGTGAGTTTTAAGCCACCGGGTCTGGGACTCGAACCACAGTCAACTACATGGGAGTCCAGTGACATAGCCATTACGCCAACTGCTGGTCCCAGCAATGTTGTAAATTTTGCCCATTTGGTATCTTACTGTCTTTTTGCACTTTCCTACTGACAGACGGTGTGGAACGTGTTTTCATATGCCTGCTTGCTATCCGTGTATTTTCTCTGATGAGCTGTCTGTTCGAGGCTCTGGCCCTTTTTTTAGTTGCCAGAGGGTGTGTGCTTTTGCCGGAGAGAGAGAGGCAGGGAGCCAGAGAGTACCACCCAGTGGGGCGTAGTCGCACTGCAGTCCTTTCTCCTCCATTTCTTCGTGTCGTTGTGATTTGGGGCGTGCGTGTACACATACCTGACGTGTGTTCCAAGCCACTAGGGCAGGGATTCACACCGAGCTGGTCCCAGCAATGTTGTAAATTTTGCCCATTTGGTATCTTACTGTCTTTTTGCACTTTCCTACTGACAGACGGTGTGGAACGTGTTTTCATATGCCTGCTTGCTATCCGTGTATTTTCTCTGATGAGCTGTCTGTTCGAGGCTCTGGCCCTTTTTTTAGTTGCCAGAGGGTGTGTGCTTTTGCCGGAGAGAGAGAGAGGCAGGGAGCCAGAGAGTACCACCCAGTGGGGCGTAGTCGCACTGCAGTCCTTTCTCCTCCATTTCTTCGTGTCGTTGTGATTTGGGGCGTGCGTGTACACATACCTGACGTGTGTTCCAAGCCACTAGGGCAGGGATTCACACCGAGGTCAACTCTGGGAGCTAGCTCTCGATGCAGAGTACTTACCTAACAGCTGTGCTTTGGAGCTGGCCGGATAGTAAGAGGCTAACAACAGGAACTACATTCACCTTGCACTTGGCGAGCCCCATGCCTCTTCCCTTTGCCGGACTGGAATTGCCAACATTGTTGCTCTTGTGCTTTGGGGCCATCCTAAGTAAAATAAGGGTTACTTGAACACAAGCTTGGCAATACCATGACAGCTGATCTGGTAGCCAGGATGGCTACAAAGTAACTAATGGGTGAGTGCATATACGCTGTCTGCAGATGTGCTGAACAGCAGGATGGTTCAGAATAGCACGAAATTTTATCATACTACCCAGAATTTCTGGAATTTTCAATGTAGTGTTTTCAGATTATGGTTGATCACAGATAACGAACTGTGGAAAGCAAAATTGCAGATAAGGGGGGACTCCTGTACATTCACAACTAATGCAAATTCATTTTCAAATAATACTGTACCACCTCATAAGTAAGCACATGCACCTTCTAAGAACAGAATATCCCCAGTTCCCCACCCCTTCCATCATGTTCTTGTAAATTTCATATATATATGTGTGTGTGTGTGTGTGTGTGTGTGTGTGTATAAACATTTTTCTTTATAGGCATATCATAGTCAGATGTCTGTTGCAGTTATTTTAAACTGTTTTTGTTAGATTGGTTAAAACAATAAAAATAAGAGATTTTATGTTGCCTTTACTTATTTATTCTCCAGGGTCTTCCTTCCTTTATACAGATCCAAATTTGTAACCTATATCATTTTCCTTATCCTTGAAAAGCTTCAGCAGATCTACTCAATTTTTATTTGTGTGAGAAAATATTTCTCCTTCATGTTTGAAGGATAGTTTTATGGGGTGCAGAATTCCAAATTGTTGGGTTTGATTTTTTTGTGTTTTCTCTGAACACTATGAACATTTCCCTCCACTCTCATGGTGCCTGCATGGTTTCTGAGGAGATGCTAGGCTTAATTCTTATGTTTGCTTCTCTATAAATAATGTGTTTTTTTCCTTAAGCTTCTTTTAAGACTGTTTTCAGTTCAATTTATTGCAGTCTCGCTGTGATATGGCTTGCTGTGGTTTTTGGTATTTATCCTCGGTGTTCTCTGAGCTTCTTGGATCTGTACTTTGATGTCTGACAATTTGAGGAAGTTTTCAGTCATTATTGCTTCAGTATTGCTTCGTTTCCTTCCTCGCTTTCTTCTCCTTCTGGTATTCTCATTATATGTAAGTTACACCTGATGCAGTTGTCCCACAGCTCTGGTTTTATTTTTGTTTGTTTAAGTCTTTTTTCCCTTTGCTTTTCTGTTTTGGAAATTTCTGTTATTAATGGGTTGTCAGAAAATGCTTATTTTTTTCTGTTTCTCTATGCAAAAATGGGTCATGACTTTTGTGGCAACCTGGTATATTCTCAAGCTCAGAGATTTTTTATTCAGCCGTGCCTAGTCTGTTAATGAGCCCATTAAAGAATACTTCATTTCTCTTAGCGTTTTTCATCTATAGTATTTCCTTGTTATCGTTACTTAGGATTTCCTTCTCTCTGCTCACGTTATCCATCTATTCTTGCATTTCAACTACTCTTTCCAGTAAAGCCCTTAGCATGTTAATCAGCGTTTCTTTAAATCCTGGTCTGGTCATTCCAACACTATTGCCATATCTGGCTCTGCTTCTGATGCTCATTCAGTCTCTTCAAATTATTTTCTGCTTTTTTCTTCTTTTTTTTTTTTTTTTGGACCAGTCTCTTCAAATTGTTTTCTGCTTTTTTCTTCTTTTTTTTTTTTGGAGAGGTTTTTGCTATAGGGCCTGTGCATTTGCCAGAAAGACAGAGAGAGACAGACAGAAAGCGAGAAATCACCCCCCAGGGGGGATGGTCACGCCGCAATCCCTTCTCCTCCATTCTCCTCTCGGGATCTTGGGCACGCACACACACGCACCTGGCATGAGCTTAAGCCACCGGGTCCAGGACGCGAACCACGGTCAACTACATGGGAGTCCAGCAACATAGCCATTACGCTAACTGCTGGTCCCGAAACTGTTTTCTGCTTTTAAATATGTCTTGCACTTTTTGTTAAAAAGATAAACATCATGGGGCCAGCAGGTGGCATGGTGGTTAAGGCTCTGGACTCCCTCATGGCTGATCATGGTTTGAGTCCCAGACCTGGCAGCTTGCTTTCTCACTTTCCCTCTCTGATGAGTGAATGTGCCCTATAGCAAAATAATAAATAAGTAAAATAATCATTGTTAAAAAGGAAGATAACATAATGCATCACTGCTAGGTGAAGGGAGTTGCCAGCGTAATGTGGTGAGGTTAGGAACAGAGGAAGTGTTTCGTACCCTGTGACTAGGCCTCGGTCTTGTGCGGGGCCGGTGCCCCTGAGCTGTGAACGTCACCAGTGCTTCTCAGCTTGTCTATGGTTTTGTCTTTGAATATGCTCTCTCACCCTGTGGGTGGGCAGGATGGCTGGAGGTACTGGAGCTGTGCACAGTCAGCCCTCTGTGTCCACGGATTTCACACCCTTGGGTTTCGCCAAGTGTGGATGCAGCCCTGCTTCAGCAGTTAGGAGACAGGGAAGAGCTGATTTCCTGAAGAAGTCTGTGTTTTCCTTCTCACTTACATCCGATGCTAAGATTGCTGACAGGTCTTCCAGAGATGGCTTGGAGTGTGCAGGAAGATACGCGTAGGTTGTGTGTCAGTACTCACCGTTTGTGTCATGGACATGCGCCTCCCGGAGGGGAGGGTCCTGGAACCAGTCCCCCATGGTTGGGATTGCCTTTCTTCAGCACGGATGGCTAAGGGGACTGGAATTCGGTGTTTTCTTCCTTCTGTCAAGTCAGGCCTTGCTAAGAAGAACAGAATGTGCTGGCATATTTCAAAATGGTTCCTTCCCCCTCCTCCCGCTGAGAGCTTGAGGGGATCTCCCTCTGACATATATGCCAAGACCTGGAAGGACTCCGCAGGGAGAGCTGACAGTCGTGTAGCAGAGCCCCTGGACTGGGCCCGTGTGGAGCTGTTAGCGCCCAGGGTTCTGCACGGTGTCCCGCAGTTCACGCGTGGTTACTCAGGCTTCTGCCAGTGGACCCTCTGGACCTGCCTCTGTTTCTAGTCTGGGCAATGGTTCGTCCTGAGACCTGACTTCTCTGAGTGATCTAAGAAGAGTTATCCATCTTTCAGTTCGTTCAGCTTTCTACTCGTTATTAGGATGAAATGGCAACTCCTAAGCTCCTCACGTTGCCAGGCCAGACACCAGAAGTCTCCACTTAAAATGGCTTCGTAATCCACTGATAAATTATCACCCACAGTTCGAAAAATAGGTTTAAAGTATATGGAACGAACTTTACACTGAGTGGAAGGGGGGAGAGGAAACTCAAACACAAAAGACCACAAGCCTGGGCAGCAGGTAGTGTGGTGGTTGAGGGCTCTGGGACTCCCACACCAGCCAACTGTGGTTCGAGTCCCTGACCTGGAGGCTTGCTTTCTCACTTTCACTCTCTTTCTCTCTCTGGTCAAAGTAAAATAAACAAATAAATAAAGTTAAATGCAATAATTCTTAAAAAAAATTTTATAAGGAAACTACATACATACCATATAATTTTATTTATATGAAAGGCTAGGGGAAAAATGCTAGTGACAGGAATTAGATCCGTGATTTCCTGGAGCCAGGAACCTGGGGGAAGGGACTGACTACAAAAGGAAACAAAGGGACTTTTTCGGTGACGGAAGTGTTCTGTGTGTTCAGTGTGTTCCGTTACCAAAACTCAGCGTGCCTATGCTTGGAATAGATACCTTCTGTCATCTGAAATGAAACCTTAATAGAACGAGGGGAAATGTTGTAGGACCGAGTAGGACATCAATAGATAAGACACTAGCATGAGATTGAGTTGCTAAACAATCTTGTTTTAAAGGAAACCTCCAAGAGCCTACAGTAAGGGAAGAAAGGTGCTGGCTTTCTCCCTGGGGTTGAGCAAGGTGGGGCATCGCCGTGGGCCCTGCGTCTCGGTGCTCTGAAGCAGTCGCACTCAGTCCGGCTGGCTCTCACTGCCACAGCAGCTCAGACGGGCCCGTCGCTGGGGCTTCCCACTTGTTGGCAACCCCAGGTACATTCCCCACTGCTGAATTTCATGCAGCTCCACTCGTTTGACTCAGTCTCAGTGGTCGCTGCAAAATGTGAAACGTGTTCTTCAGGAAGCGAGAAGCACTTACCATGGAATAAAACAGCGGTAAAACTTGACGTGAGACGTTGGGGAGTTCGACTTGCTGCTGATTACGTGCACTGAAATGTCGCCGTTGTATTTTTGTCTTTTAGGAACCGTGGAGTTCATTATGGACTCAAAGCACAATTTCTACTTCATGGAAATGAATACGAGATTGCAAGTGGAGCACCCGGTTACCGAGATGGTCACAGGGACTGACTTGGTGGAGTGGCAGCTCAGGGTGAGGAATGCTCGAGTGAAGGCCAGTCTTGGGGCCGGCAAGTGGTTAAGGTGCTGGATCCCACATGGCCGACTCTGACTCCAGTTCCGGACCTGGCAGCCTGCAAAACATGCTGGATACATGTGCACGCTTGCCCAGAGCCCTTGGAGGAGAGTTCTCATTTTCCCTCTCTCTCGGTCTGTATCTCTCTGGTGAGCACATGTGTTCTGTGGCAAAATCCTTTAAAAAAACAGTCTTGGGCCAGCCCATGGCTTGGTGGTTAAAGCAGCTAGATTCTGCATGGCCATCTGTGTGGTTTGAGTCCCAGACCCAGCTGCCTCAAAAACACACTGGGCATGTGTATGTGTGTGTGTATGTGTATGTGTGTGGGGGGGGTGAGTGAGTGTGTGTGTGTGTGTGGGGGGGGGTGTGCCCAAAAATCCTGAAAAGGAGCAGAAACAAAGGAGAAGAGACGCAGCGTGGCCATGACCCAACGGAGAGGTGCTTTCTCTCTCTTCCACTCTCTCTCCTTTATTCTCTCTTGCTCTCTCTGACTCTCCCTGGGTAGCATACACAGTGGCAAGTTTTTAAAAAGTCTCCTTAAAAAATGAAACTGACTCTTAAGAATAGGTTACTTCTGGCTACCTATAGAAGGTATCATTTTTTTTTTTTTTTTTTTGGGAGGGGTTTTTTTTAAAGGAGCCGGCGCC